AATGACTAATGAATAGCCAATATGTCTCTAATATCCATGCTAATAGGCAACTAGTTAATGTTTGATATGTGTTCCCTAATATAAAGTGTTAATTTTTTTTGTTGTTAAAACAAGAACATTGCTTGTGTTGGAAGTAAGCCACTCTCTCTGAATGAATCAGGACATTTAGTCCTTAGGCTTGTACCCTAAATGGGATGAATCAACGCAGGCTAATGAGGAAAGAGAGATTTGTTCATTTGAGTATGAGCCTATGAGTGAAGCCCATTGAGCTCTACACATGTTCAGCCAGTGTATGATCACACTGAAAGATGTAGGTCAAGATGAGATCAGTGGCTGTGGCCTTATGATGGAAAGGGATTTAGGACAAATACAGAATGACACCAGTCAGACTGGACACTTAATCATTGCAGTCTACCATTTTTACCTCCAGGGTCTGCAGCACATAGTGTTTGACCTGGTACTTCCTCCATTAGCATCAAATTGAAATGACAATGCACTAAAAAGTGATGTTTTTATACCTGAGAAAACATAAAAGCCTATTGTTTTGGTTTTAATAGCTTAAAATCCATGGTTGTCTTTTTTCATATTTCTGTGCATTTAAAGCTGCCGTAGGCTTTAGACTTATCTGCTGAGTGTGCCAGTTGGATTAAATACAGTTTTTGGATTAAAAATCAGTTTTTATCATGAACACACTAAACCATTGATAGATTATGGAATATACCTATGGGAACACATGAAAGCAGGAGGCAGTTTATTCTTTCTGTTTATAAAGTATGCGTATATTCATTATAGAAGTGTGGGGGAGGAGGCATGAAACTATTGAATCTTACTCAAAAAAACATGAGACATTAAAGAGGTGGGCTGACAGATAATTACTGTGAAAACCCATGAAATGTAAAAGCCCCATTCATGTTGTGTCTTCTCTTTATTCACTTTTGATTGTTACAAATCAAATATTCAGTGGTGGCTACATAACATTAAACATAGTCAAGTCTAGATGATATAATATATTGTAAACACATGAACTGTGTAAAAAAGTGTAGTAAGTAAAAATAAACACCAACATTAAACAAATTAATTAATTAATAGGTGAATTGTTAGCATCATTTTCAAAGATCTGACCTCAAAGGCTTCCAGAGGACATAGAAATAGAAATTAAGCAAAACTATTAATCAATCATTCTGGATGAGCTGCACCAGCCAGGAGGGAGTTGCAGTTGTATATAGGTTTGAGATTACCAGAGTCTGAGCTGCCTTCTGAGTGAGAAGGGAAAGTGCACAACATCAGGAGAATACACGAGCGGGTTGTTGCAGTAATGTTGGCAGCAGTGGCGGCTGGTGAAAAATATTCTTGGTGGGGTTGCGCGAAGCCATGCTCAGTTTTCAGTAACCTTCCCACTATACACAAACTGCAGGATAGTTCTTTGTGAAATAGTAGTTGATTATTGAATCAATAAACAATTATAAACATGTATGTGCATACTGCACAAACAAACTTAAAAAAATAAACTTAGAAAACTAAATCAAAATAATATATACAAAAATAATAATACTCAGCCAATTGAAAAATAATGTAAATTATCAATAGTTGTTGCCCTTGTGCTCAGATAGTCAGTAGTGCATCATTCTGGTTACTAGTGTTTACTGAGTACACATTCCTGAAACATATACAGTGCTATTATCAAACACTTTTAAGACAAAATAAAAGGTGGTGGATGTGAGAGGGGATGGGGTCAAGGGGACAGTTGGTTGGACAGGCGGAGGTTACCAGGGTAAGCACCTGATTGGGAGACGGGGGTGAAAGAGGAAAGAGAAGGGGAAGAAGATGAAGATCAAGTTGATGGAAATGTAGTGGATTTAATAAAACATTATTAATTGATTATTACTGCTAGTACTATTTCCATGACATTTGTCATTATTTGCAATCATGTGCTCATTTGATATCCTGCTCAGTAAACTTAATTATTTCACTACCATGTGTCCATTTTTGCTCAACTGCCTCCACCTTACAAATTCTTCTGTATGAGCTCAGAGGATGCTGTGTAGAGATCACTAGAGAGAAATTTTTGCTTTTTTTTAGTTGCATGTGCCTGCCACATAACAGTCTCTCAACACAATTGTAGACCATTTGTCACAGTTCATCTCTGCCTCACCACTCTGCACCAGCCTGCTTCAATCTGCCAATCAGACACACCCCTCTCATCAAGCCAATTCCACTCACCTGTGCTCTCTGCTCTGGCTGCATTTAAGCCCCAGCTCCACTCTCACTCATTGCCAGATTGTTCTTGATGCTTGCACCAGACTCTCCAGCGTTTCTCTGCCTGATCTCCCTGTTTCGACCCTGCTTATCTCCGACCATCCTGCCTGACCGATCTCCTGGTAATCAACTCAGCCTTCCGTCCCCGACCACGATCCTCGCCTGTCCCTTTCAGGATTCTGCCTGTCTACTCCCGTGGCTATCCGGTGATTACCTGATTCTGCTCTGCATAGAGAGTGTCACTCTCGTCTCCTCTGTGGCATCCTGCAGTTCTGTGGCTCTAACAATAAAGTTTGTTACCAACGATACCCGCCTGTCTTTGTGCTGCTATTGGGTCCAAACCACACCCTTTACACCATTGCTGATTAAATTGGCTAAGTACAACAAGGAGAAACACATTCAATGACATGGAACAGCTGAAATAAGCTATATCCTGCAATGCAAATAGCATAAGTAAGAATTTCCCTTGAGATCAAGCTGCAAAATCCAGGATGTTAATAGGATGTCATTACAGTCTGAACATATCAAATTCAGACTGTCTTAATGACCTTAGCAGCAGCAGATTATGAAAATACACCAGGGCGTGTGCTCCACTGGTCTATGATAATCAACAGTAAATTAGATGTTTATTTGTGATTGTAGAAGCACTTATGGAAGAAATATTCAGATCATTTACTGGAGTCAATGACTGGAAATTTTAAAAGTTTTTTTTTTTATCTTCACACATACCTGACATTTCCTACTTCTGCTACGTTAATGTGGTGGATCCTTTTTGCCTTAAAAGGAAAAACATTTCAAAAGATATACTGAAAAATCCACAGTCTGCCACTGTGAAACTTAAACTTCCTCTTCATCTCAGGGATCTCCTGATTTTGCAGTGTCCTCTAATTTAACAACCCATAGTGTTCACTGTGATCATAGTGTGAGACTGAAATACAGAAAATAAAAACTAACTGTGGCAGTCGACCATGCCACGGGGTTCCCACCACGACAGCCAGAGACAAACCAGTCCACCCATTGCGTGCTCATCAACATCTTTTATTAATATCCAACTGAGACTTACACCAACACTCAACTTCAGTGGCTAGTCCAGTCTCTTCCCCAGTGTGTTCTCGAGGCAGCTCTGCTGCTGCCTTTTCAAGTCTGAGGCTCAATCAGCTAACAGATCTCACCTGTGCTGACTGATCCTCTGTGGTGCAGGTGAAGGTGCTCTCTCTGCCCCTTCACCTCCACACTAACTTTTTGGAAAAGAGAACAACATGAGGCCAGTTTTGTCAGTCTTCATCTGTCATGATTATCCTGCCCTATATGTGAAGGTAACACTATTTGATACTATCAGCCTATATAGCTGTGTGAATAATGTGTGTCTGTATGTTGCAGTTTCTACGCTGACTTTGGGCCCCTCAACCTGGCCATGCTGTACAGATACTGCTGCAAACTTAATAAGAAGCTTAAGGTAACACAGAACTTTCCCATGCACAACATTTATTCAGGCAATCTAAGCAGTGTGCATATTTGTCTCATGTAATATGTTGAGCAGTGACATGTACACAGTGATGTTTTTACCGAATACTATTGATTTGGCATTGACTTTGTTCTATCACATCAGTCTTTCACAATATCCAAGAAGAAGTTGGTTCATTTTACCTGTTATGACCAGAAGAAAAGAGCAAATGCAGCTGTCCTTATTGGTGCCTACGCTGTAAATATATCTCCATTTATTAATTAATAATCACTCCATCCATCTCAATGTCTGTCCATCTATCAATTATTTGTTATACAGTATAGCCTCTTTCCTGCAGGTTATCTATTTAAAAAGAAGTCCAGAAGAAGCCTACAGGACTCTTATCTCAGGAAACAACACAGCATATCTGCCATTCAGGTACACACACACACACACACACACACACACACACACACACACGCACACACACAGACAGACAGAGAGAGAGAGAGAGACTCTTCAAAAACACACTACAACTGGACTGTAAAAGGAAATTAGTCTTTTGTGGTATACTTACAGCTTTGACACACTATATGTAAAACAGGGAGTTGTTTGACTATCAGAATCTGCCTGAAAACCTGAGATTTGCTGTTTTGTCAAACATCTGATGTCAATCATCATATATAAATAATGGTGTGTGTGTGTTTGTGGCCAACAGGGATGCTGCAGTAGGAGAGTGCTCATTCAACCTCTCTGTGCTTGACTGCTTAAAAGCAATATGCAAGGTAAACAACAATGATGTATGACTGACTTAACCACAGTAGAGCAGTTAGTACATTTATAAACTGATGTAAGATACATTTGAAAACTACTTCATCAGAGAAAAAAACAACAGCTGCCCTGAAAAAGTAGTCTCTGTTTGCACAGAGGTCAGAGACTAGATACTTTCTGTTCACTATTATGTGCTTATTCTTAAACCTTTGCTCTTACAAAAGTTTAAAGAGAAAAAAACACAGGTCATACAGAGAGAAGTTACATCACAGTATCAGACTTTATCTACTACAGCCAGTCTCTCTCTCCTCTCCTCTCCCCTCCAGGCATTACTGTATGGTTTCTTGGACTTTGACAGCTTCGATGTTGAGGATTATGAACACTATGAGGTGAGGAGGATTATATCATAAACTGACAATGCCCATAAAAACATCCAAGTAACTGTGTGCAACAACAGAAATAATAACAATTCACCATATATTGCATTAATATTACATATGATAAATACACTATAAATTATAGTTAATTCTCAAAACAAAGTTACGTTAGTTAAGTGCTTTACAATAAAACATATGCAATAAATCAAATCCAAAACATAAAAATATATAAATAAAGTAGGCCTTACAAGTCTGAGTCTGATAAAGATCCAGAGATCCATAAGGAGATTCTGGGTTTGCCTACCTGAGCTCTTCTGGCAGGAAGTTCCATAGCTGAGGGGCCATAGCAGCAAAAGCCTGGCCACCCTCAATGATATTGAAACAGCCTGAGCGAGGGTGACATTGCCTGCTCTTAAAAGATACTAGCAAGTCACACACATTTACATGACCATAGTACACTGAACACTGTAACGGGTGTGGTTTGGACCCAATAGCAGCACAAAGACAGGCGGGTATCGTTGGTAAAAAACTTTATTGTCAGAGCCACAGAACTGCAGGATGCCACGGAGGAGACGAGAGTGACACTCTCTATGCAGAGCAGAATCAGGTAATCACTGGATAGCCACGGGAGCAGACAGGCAGAATCCTGAAAGGGACAGGCGAGGATCGTGGTCGGGTACGGAAGGCTGAGTTGATTACCAGGAGATCGGTCAGGCAGGAAGTTCAGAGATAAGCAGGGTCAATACCGGGAGATCAGAGAAACGCTGGAGAGTCTGGTGCAAGCATCGAGAACAATCTGGCAATGAGTGAGAGTGGAGCTGGGGCTTAAATGCAGCCAGAGCAGAGCAGAGAGCACAGGTGAGTGGAATTGGCTTGATGAGAGGTCTGTGTCTGATTGGCAGATTGAAGCAGGCTGGTGCAGAGTGGTGAGGCAGAGATGAACTGTGACAAACATAGAATGAAAATGAAAGGTTTGAAAAGCATATAGTATAGAATGATTTTGCTCCCTAATATGAATAAAGCTCTAAAAAATGCTAGATCCTTAATTTACCATTATTTGCATTCTTTATTTATAAATGTATAATTTCCAAGACCAACTCTGATTGCATAATTATGGCCAGGTTATTTTCTTAGACTCGACAAAGCTCTGTCAAAGACACAAGACATCATTCAGCTGTTTTCAGCGTGAGTGGGACTCACTGGAGAACACTGACATTTACATGTGAAATCAACAGCTTCAATTGAATAAATCTTCATGATCACATCCACAAATCATCTTGATGTTGTGGTACCACATCATTGTGAAATAATCATCTCATGCTATCTCTGTTTTCAGTGGGGGATGACATTCAAAACATTTATCAAGTAAAAACACTGTAGCAATGGCACAGGATAGAAATAATGAATCCTGTATTCAATCTTTCCGCATTTAAAAAAAAATAATGTCATGTATTTTATATGAAAGGCGTTTATTGAAACCGGTTGAGGGTTGAGAGGCGATGGCGGATGGCTGAGGATTACCTCGGAGGTTTGGCAGGTGAGGTAAGTAGGAGGGGGAACCGGACAGTAGTTATCCACTTTAGGCACAAGAAGAAGTTAGTAGAAGTGATCAAATAACACATTGAAAAAAATTCTACCACTGTAGTGTAGGCAACAATCTGGCGATCAGTGGGAGAGTAACTAGCGTAGATATACTGAATGTGATGACCAATTGCATGCAGGTGGTGGCAGAATGATCTGCAGGTGGGGTGGTGAGCTGTTCCTGGCCTTACCTCTGCAGAGCCACCTGAATGGCATGAGACACACCTACAGAGGGAAGGGAAATCATTTTGTGTCAATGCAATTTTATACAATGATCATTATTGTATATGTAAAATCATATCAAGCCTTTCACTATTGTTATGCAGTGTACATGTTACACACACTACTTTTAAAAATGTCATTGTTTGTATTAAAACTTGACAATGCTAAATCTTACCAGTGGTCCTTTAGAAAAAATATATGCAGTAATCATTCAAACACAGCTCTAGCTCAGTTTTATTGATTGTTAGAAATAATATCAAAGTATTATTACAGGTTTTAGTAACACCTGTATTGATTTTAAAATTTTGACATAATTCTCTCACCCACCACGTCTCCCTCTGTTGTCCCCATGGCTTTAGCGTGTAGAGAACGGGGATATGAACTGGATCATACCAGGGAAGATTTTGGCATTCAGCAGCCCACACCCTCGCAGTAAGATAGAGAATGGTGAGTTTAGCCCCTTGAAAAACCTTCCCTTTAAAGCACAGGTATATACACTGTCCACCCAGGATCAGTCTGATACTAATTATTTGAATGGCAATGTCCCATGTCATTAATTAATACAACTGTAACAGAGTGCCAGTAAATCACAGTCCATCTTGATTGTTTTTCCAGGTTATCCTCTCCATGCACCAGAAGCATACTTTGCATACTTTCAGCAAAATGACATCACATCCGTGGTCCGTTTAAACAGGAAGTTATATGACAGCAGGCGGTTTGAGGATGCAGGATTTGACCACCATGATCTCTTCTTCGTGGATGGGACCACTCCCTCTGATCTCATCATCAGGCGCTTTCTGCATGTGTGTGAAAGCAATGAAGGGGCTGTGGCAGTGCACTGTAAAGGTAGGAGTGGATGTTTATGTGTTTCATTATTTATTTACACAATTAAAGACAGTTCTTCTGCATAAAAGATGGAAAGTCTTACAAAATATAGAATAGTATGTTGTAACTTTAGATGTGTAGAATTTAGTGATATCTAGTGGTGAAATTGCATGTGGCAGCTGAATACCCCTCACCTTACCCTCTCCTTCCAAAAGTGAAAAAGAATCTGTGGAAACACAGTAGTGAAAACATAACAAGTATTATTTTATATTTAATTTGTGCCAATAGATCCCTTTCTCCTAAATCTTACACACTGAACGTAAATTTTTTTTTTTTTTTCCGCCTATAACTTTTAACTTAAACCTTCTCTCTTTAAACACTCCATCCAAACACAGCTGGCCTGGGCCGTACAGGCACTCTCATTGGCTGCCACCTGATGAAGCACTTCCGGTTCACTGCAGCTGAATCCATTGCTTGGATCAGAATCTGCCGGCCTGGATCCATCATTGGCCCACAACAGAACTTCTTAGAGGAGTGAGTCAGGTCTCCATTATATGTGTTTTAACCATTTTAGACCACGCATGTAAATGCATTGAGGATGGATTGTGACCAAAGTCAGCATAGGTGTAAATGCATCTGTGGTGTCAATCCACATAAAATCCACAAAAACGACATGGGTGGAAAGAATTATCACGAGCTGCTGTTTCAAATCAGTGAGATAGCAGCAGCTATACCTCACTCAAAACACATAAGGGAGGGGTGAAGACAAGACCAAGTATCTGCTTTTTACTCTGTCTGATAAAAGCATATTGACGGATCTAATGTGAGCTAGACAGAGCAAGCATGTTTCAGTTAGATCTTTATGTGGATACTTGAGACAATAATACCTGGTGTAAATGCAATCAGCGTAAAATCATATTTTGATACATTATGGATACGAAATGCATTTGAACACTTTCATGCATGAATTATGACAGCCTCAATCCGGATCTATTTATTAAGTGTTTTTGATAGTCTTTTGGTATAAAAAACTTTTTTCAACACAA